CTCAATTAGGCAAAGAAAGCTTATATAAAGAGGAGATTCATATATCAAATTCACAATGGCAGAGAAATTATGAAATTACACACAGATGTTGTTAGAAAGATATGATCAAAAGTGAAAAAATTAAAGAAATAAACTTATTAAAGTATCTTACCAAGGCTTAGTGTTTGTTATGGGCGATGGCGAGAGAAGTGTGTTGGTATTGTGGAAGCTCTCTCATTTCTAATCATACAGTCTTTTTTCTGATCCTGAATTCACATGAACCTAACGATACTGCAACAATTACCAAATTAAAGACCGAAACAAATTGTAGAAGTGGTGAAATTGGAAATCTAAATCAAACCCAAATCGAAAGAAAATCACACCTATACGAGTGAAATTGAAAAGCAATTAGGATTCGTGTAGTTGGTGGCATACCTGATGCTTCTCCCATAAACTGATGTGGTTGTGGACCGGTGGAACACTGGTAGTTCGACGCTGGCAAGCGATTTCTGGAGGTTTGGAAGAAAACATCGACGACGGCGGAATAAATCCATCAACGACAGCACCACGTCTTCCGGTTCCCAAATTGATGATACATGGCATGCGTCATGGTGAATTCGCAGATGCAAGATAAGAAAGAGAGGGCAGAAACAGAATACGTAAACGTTTTGTTGGTTATTGTGGAAGCGGTGGGTTTTGGAAGAATCGAGCCAGGAATACCCACCGATCGGTGGAAGAATGAAGCAGAAGAAGCCGATGAGGCGGCGGTACCGTCTAGGTGAGCAGGGGCCGTAATCGGTGGTGAGGAGGTGGGGCGATGAATCAGAGCACCAGTCGCTCATCGCAGGAAAGTTAAGGAAATAGAGAAAAGCGAACGAATTTGTATTGAGGGGGCAAGGCGGAGAAGGAAAGGGAAGAAGAGAAGAATTGGGGGTTTTTTATGAAAAGGTAAAATTCAGTGGCAGCAGAAGAAAGAGAAAAAAAGTCACTACTCCCCAACATTTTAAGCTTTTATGTTATATATAATTCCCCAACATTTTAAACTTTTATGTTATATATAATAGATTGATACTCCAACTTACACTTTCATCCCCTTATCTATGCTCAATGTTTTATAATCTATCGCACCTTTCATTTTTTTTAATCTAAATCAAGTTCAGAGAAGATATATATTTAGCACATCAACTTTTATAAATTTGCATTTTTCCATTTTTATCAATTCAATTTACGTTTTAGTTTTTCTTTGTGACAATTTAGCCCCTTAAACTTATTTTACTTAGATAAAAAAAATGTATTTAAAGACCCATTTTTACTATTCGCCTTTAAAATCAACCAACAAGACCTATATATGATAGGGTCGAGTTAAATGGTCAAAATAACCAGTTCGGTCTCATGTTTTTTGGACCCTCTATTTAGTTTGGATTTTGGTTTTGGTTCGGTTTTGTAATTATATTACTAAAGTATTTCGGTTTATAACATAGCACATACAAAACATCCAAACTCATAACTATATTGCTAAACTATTTTGTATAATATCGATTGTTAGCTAAGTTTTAAGTACATAAATAATTAATTTATAAAAATATCAATCGACACATATGGGGTTGATAATTAATAAATATAACCAAAAATAATAACTTATCAGATGAAAACGACTAAACGAGTTTAAGGTGGGAAAACATATTCATAAGCTAGTGGAAAAGTTGAAGTAAGCAAAAAAAATCACTTACGAAAACAAATTCAGAAAATAATAATAATAATAATATAATAATAATAATAATGATGAGAAATGAGTGTTGGTTGCCAAAGAGCATCCTGAGTGAAGAATAAAGGACGATGAGATCTATTATAAAAAAGAGAGGTAGCCAAAGAGACATTCTACTAACTTTTTAAGTTTGAATTCTCTTTAACAAGTTGGGCTAGCTCATTGAGAGCATCCATTATAGTAATGTTTTTAAGCCCACTTTTCAAATACAAACTATAAGCTAAATGAATTGGTGTTGGGCACGTATACTCATATCTTAAAGGCTACATCCACTCCTGTTGTATAAAAGTTATTCCAAGATGCATGTATTCTAAATACATACACTGAGGGCATCCATTATAGTAATGTTTTTAAGCCCACTTTTCTAATAAAAAATATAAGCTAATTGAATTGGTGTTGGGGGCACGTACCCTCATATCTTAAAGGTTACGTCCACTCGTATAAAAGTTATTCCAAGATGCATGTATTCTAAATACATACATTGATATATTTTCTCTATTGTATCAAAGTAAATTCTAAGATGCATGTAAGTGTAATGGGGTTAATTTGTTGATCAATGTCACTTTGACAATTATCGAACAAATTAGTATGGTGCGGAGTGCACATTTGTTTGATTTTGTCATTGTTGAAAGTATACTGCTATTTAGGGGCGAAACCCCTGAACTGACGGGGGTCCGGGGACAACGCCCCTGAGAGCGGGGTCCAAGGGGCGGTAGCCCCTGACGGGGTCCAAGGGGCAGAGCCCCTGGCTGGGGTCGATTTTATAGACCCGATTTTATGTTAGTTTTTTGACAGGTAATATGACCGTTTTTTGACAGGAAGTTGTTTTCCTGTAACTACCATATGACAGTTTTAGGACAGGAAGTTAGTTTCTGTTATATGATCAATTTCGGATTTATTTTTGGGTACAGATTTCATAACACCTTCTTCATTCTCTATTTTTTACAAAAACGGTGAGTTTCATCCGATTAGAGATTTTGAGTGTACCCTCGAAATGGTGGTTTCCTATTGTGTCTTTACATGACAATGCATAAGCCTAATGCATTATCCGCTATTAGCTACAAAAGATGTTGTCTAATGATCATCATAAAAAGGGATATTCATCCAAAAAGAGTCGATCATCAAAAGAGGCAATCAAACAATTTGTAATCATTATGAAAAATGCATCGAACATAAATTATAGGTTCCATAGCCAACCATTGTTCCAAAACATATCTAGAAACTGAAAAACATTAATATAAAATAAAAAGTGATAAACTTGATGATCCAACTATTAGCTATTTAGCTCATCAAGAATTTTGAAGATTGAAAATCCTATCATATAATACATGGGTTGTTGGTCACCATCCTTTCCCAAGGAGTGAGCATAGAGATATGTTGTTTATGGATGCTATGTCCATCTAGAAAAGGAATTCAAAATCCAATTTATCATTTTTACTATTTAATTCCTTATTAAATTGATCATCCTTATGTTTGTTATCAAACTCAATTTAGTAAGGCTAAGATTCGTACCCATGAATGACTATTATTACGTTATGCTGATCATACACAACAATAGATTCAAACAGTAGGTAATGATTACCAATTGTATCTTTATTCAATTCTTATATCGTTTGTGGGACTCCAGATAGAAAACTATTTTCTATTCAACATGTGTGGTCTCATTCTTGCCTCATGCTTAAGTCTAACTAGAGCCTTGGTTAAATTGTCAAAATTGAGAATGTGAATTTCTTGTTTATGTGGGCCCATAAATTCACCTTGGGGTAGCATGTGGTTAGGTCTACAAGTTCGTTTGATGACAATGTTTAAACTTAGTGTGTTTAATTAATGCTTGTATAATCTCTATCTACAAAATTAATTTTATGTTGCCAATATATTGCATGCATACAAGTATATTTGTCAATATGATTTAATTCAAACCGTTAGATTGTGTTTCAAATAAGACATTTTAGTTTAAACCCTATTTTACAATTTAATTTGTTTCATAAACAAAAAATAAAATCAAATAAGCAACATCACACACATTTAATAATAACAAGTAAAATATTTTTTGTTGTGTAAACCCGATCCAAAGAAAATTATTTCTTGACCAATAAAGAAACAATTTGAAAATAAAGTATGAACAATTCAACCACAATGCAAAAAAACAAAAATAATTTGTATCGTCTCTAAAATTGATTGGAAAAAGAGTAAATTACACGAATGGTCCCTATGGTTTGGGGTAATTTGCACGCTTGGTCCCTAACTTATTTTTTTAACTCAGAAGGTCCCTACTGTTTCTTTTTGCTACACGTTTGGTCCATACTATTTGTTTTTGTTACGCGTTTGGTCATTGTCTTACCTAAAAAGACTATTATTTAAATAGAGAAAAATGATGTGGTAGGTAAGATAAGGTGAGGGAGTGGGTTTGGGGTTGTGTTTATTTTAATTAATTAAAAAATCAATGGCAAAATAGTCTTTTTAGGTAAGACAGAGACCAAGCATGTAACAAAAACAAACAGTAGAGACCTTCCGAGTTAAAAAAATAAGTTAGGGACCAAACGTACAAATTACCCTAAACCATAGGGACCATTCGTGTAATTTACTCTTGGAAAAAGGATTATTATTATTATTATTATTATTATTATTATTATTTCACAGTCGTACTGCTGCTAGATTGTTGATGGTTGCTTTCGGCTGTCGCCAGTTGTGTGTCATCTCTAGCAATATTAGCAAATCAAAACAACCAAGAAAAACCACATATTCAAACACATTGTTATGATGTTATCTCATGCATGTAGAATTATAATTATGTTAATACTTTTCAAAGTAATAACATTTAAATCATCAAAACGTTACAAAAAAAAATAATGATCCAATCAATTTTTTTTCAATATTTCAAAGAAGACAAAGATCGTAATAGAAAAACAATCAAAAACAAATTTAATAATATGATCTATTGTTTTAAAAATGGCTTTCATACCACTATTAGATATTGATGATTAAAAAACAGTTTAATAATCATAAAATGAAAGCAAAAATACAAATTTAAAACTAATTAAAATATAAAAAAGATGAATGTTACTACCTCAATAATTGATGATGTTCTTTGGTGAAGGAAACAATTCATAATCTCAATAGTTGATCCAGATCATGACCTAAAAGATCTCTCTGAACTCACATACAAGTAGGATTATTTGATTATAAAACTTTTAATTTTTAAATTTGTAAGTATTATTAAAAAAATACACACATGCACATTGAAAATTTCTTATTTATCATCAATGTCATATGTATCTTAAGAGTTAAAGAGCATAGAGAGAGTTATAGAATTCAATTGTGAGAGCCCCTTGGAGGCGATAAATCTGTAGCCGCATCTTTGAGGTCAATATCCTCCAAACCAGTTGCCAGCGAGGACGATGACGTGGACAGCCCACGTTTCCCGTTTGTTTTCTTCCTATTTCCTCCATCCTCGTCAGACGACACGTCATCGAAAGAACCTTTCCGTTGCATTTCCTTAACTTTATGAAATTCATCATAGTGGGCCCGCCTGTGTTCTTTAAACCCCCCCTTTCCTCTCCCTGTCTCAGAATCTGTTCACGAGAATGACAAGGGCATTTACGTCTTTTTCCACATATGGGCATAAAAGGAATTAATAGAAGATGATATAAATAAATAAATAAATAAATAAAACCTTGGTTATCTTGATCCATGTAATCAGCTTCATCTTCTGATGATGTCCAGCTGGCACGTTGGAGGTTGTTATTACTACTACTACTAGAAGATGCCACGTCATTCAATGCAGATTGAATTGCTTCTGCATGAATGGTGTTGTCATCGCCTTCAAGAAAACTAGTATCCCTACGTATATTGGGAGACAAAGATCCTGAAATAAAAAATTAATAAATTGATATTAATTTATTTGGATTCGATTTTTTATGTTTTGAATTCATTATTGCATACAATTTAATAAGTGGTGATTGAAATCAAATTTTGAGCAAGATTAAGAGGATTTTGTATGAAATTGATTAAAGCTGAAAATAAGACAATACATATATATTGGAAATGAAGAGGGTATAAATGGAATTTCACCATCAACATCAAGCATTGGATGATATGGAGTCTTTGGTTCAGTGATTTTCTGCCTTACAGGTTTATTTGCTTCAATTTCCCCCAGATTTGCTTCATCCCATTTCACACCTTTCCTACTGCTTAATACAATCAGAAAACAACAAATTATAAAATTTCACATGAAACAGTTAATCAAACATATGCTTAGAAGATTGTTACCTCATATCTCCTCTTCTTCACTTCAAACCTAGAAGTAACAAGTAGCTGTGTAATCTGATTGTACATTAGAAATTAAGAGTTGAATCAGAGTCATACATGGTCTAATGAATGAAAAATCACTAAAAACTGATGCACAAATATGAAAAGAAGCTACACATTGAATGCTAATAGAAAGCAACAGGAGATTAGCAGCCTATAGCATGCGTTAAAGCATTAAGAACAACCTCCAAAATCATACAGCTATCCATGACTGTTTTCAACAGTTGTTGCAATCCTATCCAATGAGGGAGTATACATAACCACGAATTTGATATACGTAAAAACATGAATTACACAAGATGCGATTTCCCTTCTTTGAAGCACAATCTCACAATAACATTATTATGTCATGCCTGTGAAGCTTTTGGCATTATGGATACAAAAACAATCGATTGAAACCTAAGTTGAATTCGTGTAACCGAAAGGATTTTAACAGAACGAAATGCGACACCGAATTAAGCACTAATCCCTCTCAAATTCATAAATAAACAAAACCCATCGCTTAAAACCTAATGTATTCGCATGTTCTTAGAAATTACATCCATATAGGCAAACACGATAAAAATACAGAAGCAAAGGAGCACTAACTCGAACATAATACATAGATTATTGCCCTAAAAACATGATCGAGAAAATTAAGAGGAATGCGTATGGATCGATTGGGTCAAACAAAGCGAAATGAATACAAAATGAAAAGCCATCGGTCGGAACTTTGCTTACCGAAGCAAATGGAACGATTACGTCGTTCAGCCGGCGGCGAAACACTTGCCGGTGGTGCTTTTTGCTCGAAATACACAATAACGATGAACAATTGGCCCGATTTTTCCTTATATTTGTTTTTCCAATTTTAATCATCTTTCGTACTTTTGTCCTACCTCGTAATCGAACCCTCCATTTTTGTGATTTTTTTCTTTTTTTCAATTTTCACTAGTCTCGTGTTTTTCTTTTTAAACATATTTTTTTAGACACCCTCATATTTTTCCAACTCTTTTGTAACAAACAAATTTTTTTTCCCCCGGAAACACAATTTTTTTCCTGAAAAAAAAACATTTTTTTTTCCGACAAAACTATCGTACCTCGATTAAACACGATAAAAACAACAAACAACATAATATTTACAATATGCCATATTCTCTATTAACGATTACCCACTTTGCCCCTTCTAGAATATGAATTTTACACGAGGTGCAAGACTTCTCTAACGATATTATCAACCATTTATCATCTGAAAGTACATTTTACAACAAAATTCAAAATGACTACAAACTCCATACAACAACAAAAACACCACCAAATACCTTAAACCTAACATATCCTACCTATTCTACACCCTGCACATTTTAACTTTAAAAAAAAAAAAAAAAAAAAAAAAAAAAAAGTTACAAACACTTTAACACCTACCTACTAAAAGAACCTGGCTCTTGAACATTGCCCATTATTACTATTCCCATTAACTTGATGAAAACCAATATTACCCGACTTTTGTAACCCACCATTTCCAACTGAATCCAACTGCTTATTATTCTTATTATTATTCCCTGTTTTAGGTTGATGATGTAAATAATCTTGAATTCCATTTCCAGGATTCTGATCTTCCTCTACTACAGGAATTGCACCTGTGAGAGTTTTCACAGCAAATTCAATACATGGATCTGTCCAAAGCTCTTCCATGGGGACCTCTAATGGTGATGATGATGGAGGAAAGTTGTCAACTTTATTCAATTCCCCCAATGGAATTGCACCTGTGAGTGTTTTTACAGCAAATTCGATACATGGGTCTGTCCAAAAATCGTTTAAACAGAAGTTTATAGACGATTCTTGACCCGGGTTCGTGTTTGTGACAGGTGATTCTTGTTTCTTGTGGTGGGAATGGGAATGGGAATGGGAATCAGCCATTGGAATCGGAATCGGAATTGGAATCACAGATTCCGATTCCACTGGTTGCTTGTCAGGTAATGCCGTATGTGGTTTTTGATTCTCATCAGCTTTAGATTTAACCTTTTCAAGACTTTCCTCAGTTGCTACTACACGCTTGGATGCCATGTCAGCATTTCCAATTCCATCATTGTCTTTGATCTTTTGTGGTTCAGATTTCTTGTCTTTCTCTTTCTCTTTTGAAATAGCCAAAGAAACAGGTGGCTGGGTTTGTGATTCCTCCGCCTGTCTGGCGGTAACTTGAGGACTGGTTTTGGGTTCTGGCGGTGATGATGGCGGCAGTGGCGGTGGTGGTGGTGGTGGTGTTGTTACCGGTGCTTCAATTTCCATTGCAGCTTGTCGTTTAGCTTGTCTAGTTTTAAGCACTGGCGGTGATTGTGATTGTGATGGTGGTGGTGGCGGTGCATCAGTTTTGATGCTGGATAATCGTGTAGCCTTACGTGTTTTAGGCTCTGGCGGTGGTGGTGGTGGTGATGATGGTGGTGGTGCATCAATGGTGACTCTGGCTAGTCTTTTTGAAGCACGTTGAGGTAACTCAGACTTGCTTCTTGTCACTGATTCATCTTCTAGTGGTCGCTTATTATTATTTGGAGTTTCACTCGAAGGACTAGAAGAAACAATCGTTTGTTCCTTTGATTCACTTTGTTCAACGATTTTTTTATCTGATTTTTGAAGTGACAAATCAGAAACAAGTTTTAGGTATCAGATGTGGTGAAAATAACGATTTGAAGGTGAAAATTTCTTACCGGTGATTTTGGGTTTTTTTGCTCGTGGACCCACTTCTCCGGTTTTGAGATAGCGGTGGACATCTACGAGTGATCGGAATATGTATCCGGTGGCCGGATCTGTGTAGTACTGGAAGCATGGATGATAGAAAGATGGTGATGAAAGAATTACTGTTTTGTCCCTTTGTTAAATGATAAAAAGATAGAAAGATAGTTAGGATCAAAGTACCCGATCTTTTTTTATCCCGTTTACTCCTGTTCGTGTTTTCACTTCGACCTTCCACCCTGGAGGGAGTTCTTCTTCTTCACCCTTCTTAACTACAAGCTAGATTCTTGAAAAGATTAGAACTTTATTTCAAAATAATCAAGCATGCGATTGAGAATCACGCAGAATTAATAGTCAAAATGTTACAACGCGGTGTCTGGGATAGAAACCCTAATAAGATTAAGAAACTGATATGAGGAACTAAACTGCTTAATCTAAACCCGAAGATTTGCTAAGAGAATTAAGAAACTGCATTTGAGTAACTAGTTAATAGAAAAACCCTAAATTTTATGAACAAGGTTTGGGATTTCGGAACAGGGGATTAAAGATCTTGGATTGATAATGGGTTATGCCCGACAAAGAAAAAGATAAGTTCGGAACCCTAATTAGACTCGCTGACCTTATCTTTTTTCGCAATATCCGGAGTACTGAGCTCCTGCGGCGACTTCACTGGCGACATTTCACAAACACCTGGTGTGCTCCAGCGATCTGTAACTGAAAACTGAAAAAAACGACCACCGATCGAATTGGGGTAGCTCCTTTTGCTGCGCTCCTAAAGAGAACAAACTCGGATAATCGATTTTTAGGTTAGATAATGAAAGGGTCGAGAGTGCGACAAAGAGAGGCTATATGAAAACACGTGTACACAGGGCCTTGAGGGTCACCAAATTGGGGAAAAGGTGAATCCCACTACTCCATTCCAAAACGTTAAACGTGTAGGAGATGACACAGTCACTCTCGCTGTGTGTGTGGCCTCTTTATTTGACTAAAAAAATTTGATTTTTTAGGATAATTTCAAGAAAAAGTCTTTATGGTAACTTCTAAAGATGCATATTGTGGTGTATTTTCTTTGAGACAAGCTATTTTGATAAAACTCACACGACTCTATATAGGAAAATGAAGATGTTTAAAAGTCAAAATAGTTGTTATTTGCTTCAAGTTAAATGCTTTGAAATATGTGCATTGATATGTATCTCAATTTGATATGGCTTGAAGGGTTCTTTCAAGTAAAGACTCGATTTCGACTAGATAACAATTTAAACTTGACTATTCTTAAATCTATGGTTGCTTGTATGAGTCATACACTAGAAATGATTTCATTCAAGTCTATGTATGTTGTAATCTATTATTGAATCTATTATTAGAAAAAATCAATGACTTTATACATCTACATTGTCTGTATTTAACACCTCAAGGACTGATCAACCACGCATGTCATCATCTCATCGAGCCTCCATCTTTAGATAGTGTAACATGTAGGAGTCTTGTACTAATTAGACATGATATAATGATATCATCTACCTTTATATACATTGGAGTTTACTTTCATCCTCAATTATTCATTTTGTATTAAAAATCAAGAAGCCCGCATACATACATACATTGAATAAGCATAAGTAAGTAAAGAGCTTGAATAATTCAATAGGCTTGATAAGAACTTGGTTCCCATTTATAACAAAACAATGTGAACTTTAAATGTAAAGATGAAAGCCTAGAGTACCTCCTAGAATGAAATGGACTTTTGGGGTTTTGAAAGGTTTAAACATTAAATAACTACTTAATAGATGCCATTTATTTAAAACTCATAACTCATAAGACCCACCAATTGACTTTCGGTTCTTTCCATTATTTTTCGTCTTTAACCAATCCTATAGAGAGATCGGTATAAAAGTGACCCGACCCATATCCTATTCCGACCCGTTTACCAATATCCAGAACACGTATTGAAAGACCAGAAAGCGAGTCACAAAGTACTTCTTCCATTGATGAAAATACACATACAAATGGCAATCAATACTTCGATTCAAAATCTCAATTCTACTAAACAAATTATACCAAAAAGAATCAAATAATTCTACATATATATAAACACAAGAAGATTTATCATCAATTGTGAAGCGGATTTGGTCCACCAGGTACAAGCCGATGAGAGACTTTGTAATAAGCATCTTCACTATTGCCTTCATTCTTAAACTCCGGTTTTGTGTGAAAGTGTCGCTGAAACGTAGAAACAAACTTGGCTCTTATTCTTTCTTCATTCTTCAATCTGTTTGTTGACCGGTCAACCATGTTTCTGCAACTCGACATATCAACTAAAAGAAAGAAGATTAATATAAAACTAAAACGAGAAACTTGAAGCTTCATCTTTGAGGGAAAAGGGATGAAAAAGATGATGAAGATTTACGAAATATAGTTGTGGCTTTAGGTTGTTAAACACGTCTATATTTATAAGGAAATTTCATCTGGGTATAAAAAGGTCAACCTTACTAGAATTAACATGTTATCTTCTTATGACATCTTGCATTTTTGGTCTTAATATAAAGAGTAGACTTTTATAATTTACGTGTAATTAAGCATTAAAAGGACCTCAATACCACATCTTTTCAGCATGCTTATCAACTAAGGCATTATCTTGGACTTTTTTAACAGTTGACCTTTATTTTACAAAATATGGTGTTCATGATTCATGGAATTAATCCATAAAATTATAATTTGAACTTAAGCAGGCCATTTGGTGAGCATGCGTTCATTCCATTTATTAAAAATTTGAATAGTCGGACTCTTAGATATAATTTTTATATAAAGAATTCATATTTTTCTAATCGTTTTTTCAGCTTTTTTTACGAACATTTACGAATATGCCATGAGGAAAACACAAGAAAAAGTTAAAAGTGGATGAATCCAAACATTATTGTAGCTTTCCGATGAACAGTGTCAACCTTCAAAGTACAGCCGGCAGCTTGATGTCATACTGCAGGCTGCAACTATTTTTAGATTCTGAAAACAGGCTTAGCTAAGAATGGCAAATAAATAAATAAATGGAAAAGTTACATAAATGGTCTCTGTTCTTCGAAAAAGGTACCAAGTTTGGTCCTTATGTGGAATTTATTGCAGAGATGGTCTCTATGTTTGAAATCCCTTACACGAATGGTTCTTGTAGTTAATTTCAAACTTAAGGATCATATTTGCAACAAAATTCCTTATAAGGACCAAACTCCGTATGTTTTGCTAAATACAAGTACCATTTATGTAATTTTGTCTAAATAGATAATATAATTTGAAAAGGTTAAGAATTTTCACTAACCGATCCCCTCCTTTTTACTTAATTTCTATAATAATAATATACATTATTGTCCGTTGACTACAAAGTCAACGTATACATCTGTCATCTTAGTATCACCATCTGCCTAGTGTGATCAACCTGCGATTCACGTTCTTTTTCCAAATTAGCAATCGAATTCAAACTTTAAAAAAAAAAAAAAAATGGGAAATCTTGATTTCCCATTTTATGTGTTTTATTTAGATGAAATTTCTTGGTTATATTAGCTGGCTTTGAATTCAAATCGTTTGACTAAATTGAATTATGAGATGTCCTTTTTGCGTACTTGCATGCATCCAACCAAGTCTTTGTATTCCTTTTTTCTTTCTAATTAATTTATCTTGTTACAAAAGTCAATGAATTCATATTATCTTTGAAATGATCATTCACGATTCTACATATTTCCTTGAAAACCAACAGATTTCTTGTGAATTTGAAACAATACGATAACAAAATTCCTTTATGATTCATACGATATGATGTTTCATACATTAAATTCCGCATCCTGTGTAATCTATATATCTATAATACATGGATTGTCTCATAAGAAAGAAAAAAGAATAAGACTTTGACACGTGGCTAACTCTATATCCTATTACAAGAATGTAATTTTGCACAAAAATCGCATCAATTATGAAGTGGGTTTGGTCCACCTGGAACAGTTTGTTCAGATTCATTCAATGATCCGCCATTGTTGCTCTGAAATTGCTTGAAACGATATTGATAAGAACTTGTTCTTAGTTGCCTCTTATAAGAAAAAAGAAACTTTCTTGATAACAATCTTTGGTGTGTCTCTTGATCAACTTCCGTCATCATACTGCAATTCCCAAAATGGAAACTTGCGATCAAGATCATCAAAATAAGAACTGAGAATCGTTTCATTCTTCAAAAGATGCGATTTTTATGTAAAGATTGAGGAAATATGAAAAGGGTTCTTGAAATTGTGATGTATTTATAGCAGAAGAGACATAAACAGTTGGACAAGGAGACAGAGACATTGTATAGAATCAAATTTGACTCAATTGCTATAAAATTACCTTAATGACCTTCTCTTATCCTTAGTTGACCACCACTAATTTCATATAATAATGCCATAAAAATAATAGAACATGGGAGATATAAGATATTACCTTAATAAAAAAAAATATTTATAAGTAATACAATAATTTTGGCATGCTTAGAGTAGGAATCGAGATTGTTGAATCCCTCTAGTTTACTCCAATTTGTCATATTTTAGGGCACAAATTAACATTCTCATCGTATTCTAAGTTCTTTTTGGTATTTTTTTTTTGAAGCATTTATTGTTTTCAATGCATAATAAACTAAATATTTTGTAGTAAAACCTAGTGTTTTTTGTATCATGAACTAATGATTCCTCCTATATGAAAGGGAATATTCAGCAAAATTGCAATATTATATGGATTTTGATTAACAATTGTTTCATTTGACAACATTTTCTATGTTTATTAATTGCATATGTCTAGCTTCCTTTCTATTGTTTGCGTTTGCCACTCAGTTTTATTGCTTTAAGCTTGTTTTGCTAGTGTCATTTGTGACTTATTGTTAGTTTTCAATGTTTATATTTTATAGTTTGAGCTTGTTTTGCTAGTATCTACTTCATGACTTATGTGCTAGTATTCTTTTTCATTATTTATGTATCCATCCATTTCTTTACCTTCTTATCATGCTTCTCTTTACTTTCTTTTATTGCTAGTATTTGCTTTCTTTTTTATTTGGTCACACAATACTGTTTATTCTTCATTACATGTAGGAGATCATCCACTTTCTTTTTCTTTGGTCACACAACGTTGTTTATTCTTCATTACACGCTTACGCAAGAGATCATCCAGTCTAGACTCACACTTTTCTTTTCTTATGTCAGAGGTCATCAATGAAAACAATTCACACATTACCTCTTTTATCCCATTCTTATAGAACTTAGGTATGTTATTGTGTGTTGTCATAAAACCGAAATCAATCTACAAAATTTGGTTATTATAAGGTTGTGTTTGTTTTGGAACAGGTAAAATGTTTTCAATCTTTTTCCATTTCTGTAGAATAAAATGGGGACTAAAAATATTTTTCCATGTCTTCAATCTTCATAAAAAAAATTATTTGTTTTTTAAAGTCTTCATAAAAAAAGAATAGTGGTGGTAGTGGTGGCAGAGGTAGGAGTGGGTGGTGGTGTCGGAAAAAAAAAGTATCATATTATGCTTAAAATGGTTTTTCAAAATCAAAAGCTTTTTTTTTTCAAAAAAAAATATTATAATGACTTTTTTTTTATATCTTTTGTCTTCAAAAAAGCAAAGCCTTTAAAGTCTTTTAACCGAATGTCTTTCCTACTGCATAAAAGATCAAAAGAGCTTTTGTCTTTCCTACTATATAAAAGATCAAAAGAGCTTTTGCAAAACTAATAATAATAATAATAATAATAATAAAATAAAAACGAACACCTAGTAAGTCTATAACAAAAATCAGACACCTTTTACAAAGAAAGACATCTAAAAATCTACACAACACACGCATCATTCATTTTGAAATGAAAAAAAAAAAAAAAAAGGTAAAATATCATAATCATCATATTATGCCAAATAATACGACTATAAGATACAAGAAGTCACAATCATGGACACCCATATACTACAAATTCCTCAAGGCATCACAAAGAAAGTCACTCATGTTTATTGTCTTCACCTGTTGTCTCTTCCTTAATTTC